AGACCACCCCGGGGCAAATGCCCAGAAGACACAGGGGCCTTCCCGAGAGCCAGCACCCCGCACTCAGGGTGAGAGAATACATGTGCTTGTAAGAGCCCTCTCTTGTGGCAAGTGCTACAGCTGCACCGACTAGACCAGATGGTGCCACCACACAGTGTGGATGCTGGGACCAGGAAGGCCAGGGGTGGGATTTCAACTAGTCATGGGGCACCCTGAGGGCAGAGCCACTGGAGGAAGGCTGCACCTGAACCCCTCGGGCTCAGAAATCCTGGGGGCTGTGCACACAGACCCTGGGCTCCCAGCTCAAGTTTCTCCCCAGGAACCACGGGACCCCAGGGAACTCACCTACTCTCTGCCTCGGAGTCCCCTGTGCATGGGTAGTCGTGTCACTTGGCAGTCTGTGGCGATAACTGTGTGAGAGAGGGCATGTGCAGGAGGTGGCATGGAGTGAGCACAGAGGTGTGAACGCCATGGAGCCAGCAGTGTGGGACCCTGGGCTCCAGTCCCAAGGGCTTGGTGGGTGTGGGCAGCTCTGCAGCCCCCCTCCCCTACAAGACCTTCCCGCCTTGGGCCGCCTGCTGATGAAGCCTTTCAAACGCACCAGCCAGCGGCTCCCACACCCATGCAATTTCAATTCATTACCCCTGTCTGGACAGGATGTGGCTCAGAAACTGGCCTGGCATGCCTCCTTCACAGAAGCCCCTGAGGAGCGCCTGAGGCTGCAGGCAGAGCCGTGTGCCCCCCACGCCCAGCACATAGAACCCAGAGGGGCTGCTGGGCTGGCTACCAGTCTCCACAGTCAAAAGCAGGAAACTGAGGCCCAGCCCCAAAGTACAGCAGGCATAGACCCTGTGACCAGGTGCCAGGGCCTCCCCTGAGCACCCCTCCCACAGGGTGCGGTATTGGGGGGTGGGGTTGGCTGAGGATCCAAGAACCATTGAGAGTCTTGGGGGGGGGGGCGGTGGCGCGGGGAGTGGAGAAGACCCTGGTAGCATATCTCTGGCCAGCCCTGGCACGCTCCCTCCCACCCACCACCACCACCACAAGGGACAGGTTGAGTCAGAGCCCAGTTATCTCTGGATGACTACCATCAGGTTTTCGGTTTTCATGTGGCGGCTGCGGTTTTCTAAGAAGGCAATGCAGGCTACAAACAGCAAATAAACTTGCCACCCCCGGCTGCCCAGGAATGCCTCCGACTCAGGGCCCCGCGTCCCACAGAGGAGACCCGCGATCTGTCCACCAGTGGCTCGGAGGGAGGTCGCAGGCCTGGCTCTCCAGGTACCGTGGGAGGCAGACGGGACCTTTCGGTGGGCAGAGGGGGTCATTAGCCTCTGCACTGTCGGCCGGAGTGGGGGGATATCCGAGTGTTTATGGGGGCCCCCATCACCTTGGGGGGCCTCGCCCATCGCTCTGGGCAGTCAGTGGGAGCCTGAGTCCCTGGAGAAGAGTGGCCTAGCAGCAGCCTCACTTCAGAGCCCTCTCTCCTCCCTTGTGGCCCTGCCCTGGGCTGTGGGGCCAGGCTGCACCCCTGGGGGCTGCAGAGAGGCCACAGCACACCCAGTCCCAGAAGAAACCAGCTGCTTTCTACTTGCCCCTCGTCCCACCCACCCCACGGCCCGCATCCCTCTGCTCCTGAGCTGCTGCCCAAAGCGGAGTGCATCCTTCGTCCTGATGGAACTTGCGCCCTCCCAGCTACTCCCAACAATGTTGGGCACCAGTGCCCTCGCGAATGTACCACTGTGCCTCCTCAGCCGGGGTCTGGGCAGAGCCCCACCCGGTGCAGCCTGGAGTCGGGGGGGGGG